GTATCACTTATACCTAAATAACATGTTGTCAGCACTTGTTTTTATGTTTGATGAAGAATCTAGACTCTATCATTTCAAAGACCTGTCCAGCTCTAAGCATAGTTAGATCCTATTTTGTACTTTTATGATAAAGTCTACCTGGGACAAATTGTCCCCACTGCTTTCCTCTCATCTAACCCACCTGCAAAACTGCCTTTTCTCTACTCCAGGCCCCTGAATCTAGTCCAAATAGTCAACTTTAGTTTTCTTGTACAAAACCAAATAAAAAGAAACAGACATTTTCTTTCTATCAAAAAAAAAAGGATATTCTGATGCATTTTGAGTTGGAAAAATATTGACACTAGGAACTGGGGGTGGGGAGCCAGCAATGTTCAAATTATATTTTTGAATCACAATACTCATATTACTGGTCTTTCAAAACAATACTTATCTAAAGTTTGGTGTGGCAGTACAAATTTTTCAAAATGAATTAGAAAATTGCCTAGGTTAATTATGCTTTGGAAAGCTTAATCCCATGCATTAGAAATGTCTAATCAATTTGAAATTTTAGGACTTTGATGTACCATTGGCAGCCATATTTTAGAATCAGAAAAGATTATATTGAATGTGAGTGTTATGTCAGCTCCAAGCACAACGTGATTTAAAACTCTCTATTTGGGGTAAACTTTCTAAAGCCTGATTCCATATTTTTCACAACATGCAAACATTTTTCAAAGGAATCTAATAATTTAAAAAGGCTACAATGTTAATATTTATCCAGAACTTTGCTTCATGAAGTGACATCATGAAAACATTATCTGCATTGTTAGATACTATTTTATGGGTGTGTTCCTACTTCATAATTTTGCCTCCATAACTCAAAAAATGCAGATATTTATAATTGCAAATCATGTTTTTTAAGCATTAGTTCTAATCAGGTTAATCATTTAAGAGAAAACACATTTCTTTGGGGGAGTTGTACAGGATATTCTCTGAGGTTGTTTTTCGACCATCTCCTTTGTCCTTTATAAGAATTCACATCTGTACATGAGCAAGCACATGGATATTCCTGTATTGCTAAAGCCCTGTGTAAACACTTCTCTGTAATATTTAAAATATGTATATTGATGTGAAAATGAATCAATTCAGAAGTTCCAAACAGAAACAAAGCTATACGTTTCTCCATGGGTTATAAAGGGAGAGATGTGTCATCTTAGAAGTAAGAAAGACACACAGTGTTAATGACCCAGAATCTAATCTCTAGCACATCATTAAAGAATCCTCTTCCCTAGGAGTGGATTTCAGACCACTCAGCATCATTAGGGGTCAACTGGGTCTCACACCCGTGTTCTGAAAAATGCAGTTTGGGATCATGCACACTCAATCCTTAGGCATCAGAAGGAGCCACATTTCAAAATGCATAAACATTTAGTAAAATCCAGTTTGGCTTACAGGAAAATGGTCCATATATACCAAGAGTCTCAATGTCTGTATGAGAGAAGTTACTTTCCACAATAAAATGCTGATAATTGTTTAAAAATTTGACATGGAACTTCAAAAGAAACTTTTACTTATATCAAGTGATGATGAATGATTGTATTCTTGGCTTGGTTAGTTATTGCTGCTATGATCCTCAGAGGACTCCATCACTGGCTCCTCAGCCCAGCCTTCCTGCTGTACACAGCTCTCCTTTATGTGTCTGTTCTTTAGCAAGAAAGACAGTGCTTTCTAACCCCCAAACGCTTCACCAACCCTCTTCATTAATCTTCACAACACCCCTATGAGGTAGGTAAATAAATATTCTCTTTCTTTCAGATGTGGGGAAAATGCTGCTGAGTGAATTTCTGAGGCTGAACACATGGACCAGGTACTAGGATGCACACATGAGTGGATTTCTAATTCTTTTTTCCCCATAACCATTTTTGGACCATAACCCCTCAGATTGCTACGTCCAGAATGGAACTTATCCCATAGCATAAAAGGGTATTATTTCATGAACTATATCGAATATTTTTAAGAGTCATTATATTTAACACAGGGGTTTTGATGTTCTACTAAACCGTACATTTCATACCAATGATCACATTATCAAAGATGACTTACTAAAACATTATTTTTGTGATTGCTCATTGTCACCTTTTTTGTTGTGAAATCAGCTAAACATCCTATCAATCACATGAATGTGAGAAGAAAGGATATAGTGAAGTAAAAATTATACCAGAAAAGAAAAGGAAAACCAGATTGGGTTGGTGCACATGTCCACTGGTTCTGAAGGGCAACCGTGCCGTGTCCTGACCTCCAAAGTGGGGGAACAAAACAATTAGCAGAGGGCAATGTCACCACATAGCTGGGGGCCCTTGCTACTCAGTAGAATATCCATTTGATGAAAGGGGAACTTCTGCATCTGAGGGACAGAGGGACCAGCAGGGAGCTTCAATGAATACCCCATGAAGTTCTTCTTCTTTTTTTTTTTGATACTGGGGATTGAGCCCAGGGGACCACCCTTAGCCCTTTTAGTTTTTCATTTGAGACAAGGTCTCGCCAAGTTGTCCTCAGACTTCTGATCCTCCAGCCTCACTGTCTCCTGATTCACTGGGATGATTGGTATGTGCCCAAATGCCCAACTACTCCATGCATTTCCTCCTAATTGACACATATAGAATTTGACACAATGGAAACATTATGTAAGAACCTTCAGACCATTTAGATCTTCATTGAAAATCTCTGTAAGATCTCTATATACCTTTCAGGGCTCTGTGTGCCTGCACACAGTTAGTGCATCCTAGCAAGTTTTGCAACTAAGCATTCTTAAAAGGAAACTGGTCTCAGGCAGGTATATGGTGGCATACACCTATAATTCTAGTGACTTAGGAGACTGAGGCCGGAAGATCACAAGTTCAAGGACAGTTTGGGCAATTTAATGAGATCTTGTCCCCCTCCCCCCAAAAAAGGACTGGGGATATAGCTCAGTGATAGAGTGCCCCTGGGTCCAATCCCCAGGACCTGAAAGAAGGAATGAATAGCTTGTCTGTTTTTCTGCCAAGCTTCAGATTGGACATGTTCACCAACCCAGAGCCAAATCAGAAGAACAACTTCCTAACATTACAAAGAAGAAATATGAACAAAACATCATTAATACAAGAGTTGGTATGAACATTTCAAACCTTTTTTTTTTTCCTAGAAGGTAAATTTCCTTTCAAAGTCAAGATTTTCTGTTTTCTGAGGAATCCTAACAATGACCACAAGGAAAACACTAATATTCCCGATTTTCATGATAACAAATTAATATTAGGAAATTGGAATGATATCAACAAACCAAACCCCAAAAGTTAGGTATTTTTTTCGATTTAGGAAAAACAGCTTTTTCATCTGGTGACACCATAAAATTCACCATGAAATAATTGCATCAAGCAGTGTTTGGGGGGCTTATGCTATAATATGCTTAAGGTTAAAACTCCTATTTGAAGAATAAAAACTAATCAGAATCTGTTTTTCCCTTGAACCATTCTGTCAAGTGGACTGTGAATGATGAAGATTTTACCAACAGCAGAAATGCAATAATAAAATTACAGAAGGTAGTAAAGGCTGAACAGTTCCTTTCCTTGCCTGGAAAGAGTTTCTAGAACTGCTGCTCCTATAGAGCTCCACGCTACAGTCATGTCTGCAGTGCCCAGGACAGAGCCTCCCAAACCTCTTCCCTTCATGCACTTGCTGAAAGTAAATAAAAATCACATAAGGTTGGCTCTGCTTTGTTTATTTCTCTTTGCACGACAAAGAGACTTTTAGTAGCAGAATATCACCAGCAACTGATTACTGCACAAGAAAGTTCTAGTCCAGTACCTACAACACCTGAGCAGTTTGTCTTTCTAGACAACACCAGACAACCAGACAGAAAACTGTATGCTTCCAACATCTGGATGCTTCTGTATAGTACCCAGATGCTTGCTATCGTGAAGGCCAAATTTACCACTTGAGTGACCTGCTTCTCCGCTTTTCATTGGGATGTTTGCATTCATGTGGACAATCTTTATTTTTTAATAACTCTGTAGTGTCTACTTTGGTTTAGTAAAGATGGTTCAGCGATCACTTGGAAAATTCAAACATCAAAAGCCCTCAAATGAAAAGAAACTTAGTCATGAGGAAAAATCAGAGCTTTAGGGCTATCAATGGCCCAGTGGTTTTGTGTATGTTGAAAAATTGCTTAACTGTCCATCTATTTATTTATTTATTTTTGCTTCCATTATTTTGAAAATCATCCTCCTAAGAATTATTTTTTTTTCCAATTTGAGAATAAATACACAGACTAGGTGATTGGTAGAATCAAGATCCAAACTACATTTAAAAGAGTCTCATACTGGTAAACCTGGTCGAGTGGGCTTGGATACGGAGGCTGTTGTGATGTCATGGTATATTTACAATGGAATGTTGAGTAAGGCCATGGTAACCCTGAATCTCATTGCTGTTAAAAGGACGGATAGGTTTATGGTTTGCATTGGACAAGCAAGAATTAATTACAATACCTTAAAATGTCTTTTCTTATAATCCACCAGCCACTCTTGGTGTGCAGAGCAGTATGGGAACCGGTGATCAAGGAGAATCATCATAAGGGAGAGTCAATCTTACATATGAAGCTACCAACATATCCTCCATCTCCCCACATTAATCAGACCCTGACTTTGCCAAGGGGACAAAGTCTTTATAGAATGGCAGTAACTACTCTGAATTTCTGCTCTAAAAAGGCAAGTATTTTTTATGGACCACTGACAGGTTTTCTTTTCAATCACTGTACTTGGGCCTCTTCATTAATAGAAATGCTCTGTCTGACACTCAGCTCTGCTGAAATCACTCTTTCTCATGAACCTGCAGAAAAGCACTGTTTGTTGCTCCTAGATCACCACAGTTCACCAACTTATTATACATTAAAGGATATTTTTGTGTGTAAGTTGGCTGTGGGATTCAGGAGATGAACATTTTCTTTAACTTGCTAGTTGTCATAGCCTGGCAATCAGAAATCAGTCGCATTAGGCCACTTTCCTACCATTCCTTTTTTTTTTTTTGCCTATGATAAAGAATTAGTTCTGAAAAGTCACTTGTTGTGATATTAGTGTCCGTAACTGGGAAAATCAGTAGCTCTGGGAATATCTTGGACATAACCACCAAGATGATTATGTCTTCTCTTAGGAAAGAGCAGTATCTTTCAGACAGAGGAAAAATGATCCCTGCTTCTTCCTCTTCATATTTTTTACTTCTAGACTACTTATTGGATGCATCTGATGACTTCTGTTCATTTGTCTGGAGTTAACTCCTAAAACTGATACCAATTCTTTAGACTAAAAACTATAAGAACACATGGATGCCTGACTCTCTTACATACTCTGAAAGTATGATCTGCTAATTTCTGGAAACTTCATTTTGACCTTTCTTTGAGAAAAGAGAAGTGGAAAAGAACCATGATTTTTAATTATGAGATCACCTTTTTTACTTCTAAGTGAAAAATGTAAGCATTGGGAATATCAGTGGGCGATCTTTTTTAAGCTAATAAGCAAGCTTTTGTAGGATCCAAGAAGCAACCGGGCAGTCAACTCCACATAGAAATGGATTTCCATTTGGAACTGGAAATGTCATCACCCAGGAAGGCAAGCATCAAATTATCCAATAGTTACACCCATGCAGATTTGACTTCTAAACTGAATTATAAACTCAGGCTTTACAAATCAGTTATTACAATGCTGACAATGATAGTCTCAAGAAATGAAATAAAAGCAGCAACTCTACTCAGACAGATTAATTATTAAACAGATGACAGTGACTTTTTCTTTTCTTTTTTTTTTTTCCATTTCCAAACACACGGATTTGAATCCATTGGAAGCAAGTCTTCGGTGACCCATACCCATTCTCTGACCTACACAAGCCCCCAGGAATCCATGAACTTGTTTTTCAAAGTAGTGCTTACTGGCAAAAACAAAGGAGATGGCTGAATATTCATAGCATCAGTGTTGAGGAACCACGTAGCATGATTTCATAGCTCTGTAGCACAGAGGTCTTTCTCTTCGGGCCTGGGCACTGTCATGGCACGGGACTCAGAACCAAGGGCTCCTTTTTCACTAACTGATTACTGTTCCCTTGCAATAGCTTGATTACAATATTACAAGTCAAGAATTTGCAAGATTAAAGTGTCTGTTGAATTAATTAACTGCAAATCACCGCCAGTAAAACTTGACAAGTTCCAAGATGTTTCTGTAAGAAAAAGAAGGGAATCAATAGCATCAGCAACATGCAGCTTTGGGACAGTGGAGACTATTTCTGAGCACCACGGGCTCACTTCCACACTCCCCCTTTCTTAAAGGAGCAGAGTTTTTTTATCCTTTCACAGAGTGCCATGCCTCTGATTCAGAACAAGGGAAATGTTTCACCTCAGGCTTTTAAAACATACTTTGGAGATCCACTTCCTTTTTATGTACAATGCATTAGAAAGGCTAATAAGGAAAGCTGAATATTTTAGCTCTTTGAAAGCAGGATATAAAATGACAGTTCTTTTACTAGCTGACAGGTCTCCTTTGGTTACAGGCTCATGCTCTATTTCTCCCAATTTGAATAGAATAAGAAATCACAGGGGGCTCCATAGAGAACCACAGGTCAAAGTTTAATTGCTCTGCGAACATAGCAGTGCCCAACACATTCAAATACAAGTGCTCATTTTCCAGAATCACAATGCATTGAAATGCTGGTGTGTATTAAGACATGTTCTGCTGGTTTGTAATCTAAACAAGAATATCTTACAATGATAGAAAACTGAAATTTATTTTCAACCCACTCAGAGGTGTTTTAGAACTTACTGATAAATGAATTAATTTGAAATATTTAAGTGTTGATTGGATACAACTCCATGCCAGAATGCCACTACAACAGTTAAATTAGATTAGTTTAAACACAACATCTCCATTTGTTCCTATTTTCAGCACTTGAAGTAAGAATTTGATTAATTCCATTTTAATGCAAATTAAGCACAAGAGAAAGGAGAGGGCCAACCTGCTTAATTTGGTAGATGGAAGTATAATAAAAACACAAAACCTTACATTTTCTGAAATTCTAATAACAAAGTAGGTGACAGGCTTCAATAATAGCACAAGAGGAAATTTTGTGTTGGCACTGTGCTGGTAATATTTGCTTATTATTTTGATTAATTAATTTGATGCTGATTTGATATTAGATATGATCTTTGCTCTGCAAACATCTTAATCATTTACTACGGGCTTCCTCTCATGCTGTGAGTGGTGAAAACAGTGATAACCGTGGTAATGAATGTGATAATGGTGGTTGGAACCTAGAAATCAGGGGCCTGACGTATTAACATTTCTACGTGAACTCTTTTTTTTTGTTGTTGTTAATGCTTAATGAGCTTCACCAAAAATTTTCTCAAGGATTCTGGACTTGTAAAAATTAATATTCTCCCTTCTCTCTTTCTGTGTACTTCATAGAGACCAACAGTCTTAAAAATCACCTAACCAGAATTATTTCTTTTAAAGAAAATTAGTTATTCAATTTAATCATGATCTTTAATAATACAGTCCTTCTATTTCTGGGAGTCAACTGGTTCGGGTAGAACTGCAGGAGTGATGTGGGTTGGACACAATGCTACTGTGATGTCCCCAAGGCGTGGGGCTGGCTGCCCTGTCTTTTGACATGTAAATGGGCAGAGTGCTCTGGGTACAGAAGGTTATCACTTTAGCATGACCTCCCAAGTAATAACAGCTGAGATTCGTCTCCAAAATTGTTATTCCTAAATAACTAGTATGCTGGAGAAATACTGTATGTGCTAATGAATTCTGCTTTCTTGAAAATCAAAGAAGCAATCTATTGGAAAACTTCCAATACTAAAGAGGCTGCCTAATTTTATGACTTTTCTTGAAAGGAATTCTCAGGCCTATCTCCAACGTTTATTCAGAGCTGATGATTTTAAGACAAATACTCTGTGCCAAGAGAGTATTTCCATGTCGTTGTTGTTGTCGCTTTGTGACTTTGATTAAAAAACATTTACTGTTGGAGAGCCATAAAAACAAGTTATTAAATGGCTTTTCTGTTTATTGGCAACCATCTAATGTTAATTTATCTTTGCACTTAAATTCTTACCTTCTGTTTGTCATTGTGTGTGAGAATGATTCATTGTGAGGTTTACAGGATAGCCTTGGAAAAGCTTATGTTTCCTCACTGTTTTAATATAGAATTAAACATAGATATTGGAAAGAGAAGTAGCAGCATGCTGGAGAAAAAGAGTTAAAATTGAAGTCATAAAATTGCCTTAGCTGCTCCTAACTGTATTATAAGTAACTGAATGCAGAATTCCTTCTGTGGATTGCCTGGCAGTCAGTCTTACTAATAGAAGTCATGCTTGTTGGATGAATGACAGAGTGAATCAATAAATGTGTAGAGTATGTAATAATGATTACAAAAATTACCTGATCTCGTTGGGTCTTGGTTGCCTCTCTTATAAAATAAGAGTCATGAAGTAACGTTTAGATTTCTTTTAGAGGCTATCTCCTTTAAACATTAGTGACTTCTAATTTGACAGAAGCTCCTAAAGATTTGATTGAATCAATCTATGTAGGAGGATAGATGACTACTCATATTTTAATGCATTACATTCAGACTGTTGAGAAAGTTTTGGGTTTATTATTGGCTACTTTGAAAGAATCAGTACAAACAGCGCACACACACGTGTGTGTGTGCAATGACATCATTGCTGTCAACTCGGTCATCTTGCTGAACTTTAGGGATGCTACATTTAGTGAAAAAGGAGAGAACACATGAGTTGTAATTCAATAACTATAGGCTAAATATTTGCTATATTTTTTCATCTAACCCTTTAATCTAAGATAATGTTCCTAGAATTATATGATGGTTTCAGCTAGTGGTTTTATAATCATCATAAATATAAAATTGTGTGACCTTCAAGATAGCAAATGAAATTTAGGGGAAAAGGATTGCAGGAACAGAATTACCTTATAATATAAAAATGATGCCACTTCAGAGACTTTTTAAGCTCTATCTCCTATCCTTCCTTCCTCTTTTCTTTCCTCTCCCTTCCCTCTCTTTCTCTCTCTTTAGCATATCAAAGTAAACAGTGGAGTTCAGTTATTTTCCTTCTGCCTAACTGGATAACAGTTTCATACAAGAGAAGAAGTATTAAGTTAAATTATATTTATCATTTAACTTAATGCAGAGTAGCACTATGATGAGGGCACCATTATCTGGGAGTGGAAGAACAGCATTGATTTGCCTACTACGAATTAAAGAAAGATTCAGTTATAAATGATAAGACTCCCATTTCTCATCGTTAGCTTTTTTTTAAACTTTTCATTTTGAAAGACATCTTTGACTTTAAAATAAAAATTTCTAGGAAAAATTTGATCATCAGAACATGATTCTCTTCACTTGGAAGGCTTGGCATACCAGCAGTAGATTTTGGAAGACTCGTTGGTCTTTTAGAAGGACTCTCAGTTGTTAAACATTAGGCTCCACTCTCAGCTCTACTATAGCCTAACTCTAGAGCTTTTGGTAAGTTGCTTACATCTCTGAACTGAAGTTTCATCATCTGGAAATATTTAACTCCAGATGGCTTTGATAAGGTTCTTTAGCACAGTGCTGGGCACATAATAAACTTTCAATCATAGTAATGGGAAATGATTATATTATTCGTGTGTGTGTGTGTGTGTGTGTG